TACTGTGGGAGTCTTGGATTAAGGGGTCCTCGGGCGCCCGGCATGTATGATGTGGGCCGGACTATTGGGCCATGAAGATACAAGACAGAAGACTCTCTCCCGTGTCCGGATGGGACTCTCCTTTGCGTGGAATGCAAGCTAGGCGGTCGGATGTATAATTTCCTTTCTATGTAACCGACTTTGTACAACCCTAGGCCCCTCTGTTGTCTATATAAAGTGGAGGGTTTAGTCCGTAGAGGCAATCATAATCATACAGGCTAGACTTCTAGGGTTCTAGCCATTACGTTCTCGTGGTAGATCAACTCTTGTAACCCCCATACTCATCAATATCAATCAAGAAGGACGTAGGGTATTACCTCCATCAAGAGGGCCCGAACCTGGGTAAAACTTCGTGTCCCATGTCTCCTGTTACCATCAACCTTAGACGCACAGTTCGGGACCCCCTACCAAGATCTGCCGATTTTGACACTGACAACATGCACGCCCAATCAGGTGCCATGTAGACCGGCGAATGGGGTGGAAGCAGACCCACCTAAGGAGGAGCTGGGCCATGTGCCGGATCTGAGGCCATGCATAACTATTCGCATGCAGGCCGAGTTGGGGAGCGAGTTTCACGTCGATGTAGGAAACTTTTGTGCTGGTGTGCGCCAACCCCTGTCTCCGATCCTGCCAAGACCAACGAATAGGACTGCTGCCCACACTTGCCGTAAAGCAAAGAAGAAGCCTAGGCTGGACGTCACGCCTAGGAGGAGCGCCAGGATTGCCAAACATGCGGCAACTAAGCCATAGCAAGTGCTCATCAGAAAGTTGTGCTTGGAACATGAGGGGGAGGCTATTTCGGAGGATGCTCTTCGGATGTATGTTCATCTTTTCTCCCTCCCTCTCTCGGATGCACACATCGCGGCAGTGCTTGCGTTGTTTGGATGGGAACACCTCAGGAGCCGTGGATCGAGGACCCTATCATGGCCTAGCTGCTTGCTTAGCTAGGATGAGTCGTTGTGGGCATTGGAAATGAATGCACAGCCCCTCAAAGTGTTGGTGTGGAATGTCCGTGGGCTAAATGCTCGGGCTAGTAGGAATGCCTTATTTCAGGTGGTGACATCGGCCAAACCGGCTATTGTATGTCTGCAGGAGACTAAATTGCATGATGTATCAGTGAGCATTGTGCATCAATGCCTCAGAAATAAATATGAAAAGTTCTTCTACTTACTGGCGTTAGGCACTCATGGTGGGATCTTGGTGGCTTGGGATGACTCTATCACCCACCTTTCTAATCCGCACTATACAAATCATACATTGACGACACTGGTCAACTGCCCTGAGGATGAGCAAGCATGGTGGCTGACATGTGTCTACGGCCCTCAGGAGGAGGCCGACAAACTTGAGATCATGCAGGACTTGGTAGATATACGGGATTTACATGCGGGGCCTTGGCTAGTGGCTGGAGACTTTAGCCTCCTGGCTGGGCAGGAGGACAAGAGCAATGACTTGATTAATCAAAGGATGTTGAGGCGGTTTAGATCTAAACTGAACTTGCTGGAATTGAAGGAGCTATACCTAAATGGCTGGTGGTACACATGGTCCAACAAGAGACATAATGCAACACTGGAAAAAATTGATCATGTGTTGGTCTCCAATGAATGGGATGAATCATTCCCATCATGTTTCCTCTCTGCGCTGGGAACAGCGGTATTGGATCACTGCCCACTGATGCTTGATATGAACATGGAGATTACGACGAGTAAAAGGTTTAAGTTTGAGGCTTTCTAGATCAAGGTGGAGGGTTTCATGGACACAGTGCGGACGGCTTGGGACTCCACTCCTGACGCCTCGAATGACTACCTCACGCTTCAAAACAAACTACAAGCCACGGCGGTCAGCCTTCAGAAGTGGAGCAACCGTTGGGTTGGGAATGTGAAGTTACAAATATCTATTGCGTTGGAGGTGATAAAGCAACTGGACGTCACCATGGAGTCGAGGAAGCTATCACATGCGGAGCGTGATCTGAGGTGATGCCTTAAGAGGAAGCTGCTAGGACTATGCTCCTTAGAGAGAACTATCGCAAGGCAACACTCCAGGCTACTACAACTCCAGGAAGGAGATGGGAGCACGAGGATTTTCCATCAACAAGCAAGCCACAGGAGAGGAAGAATGTCCTCAGATCGGTGAAATGCAACGGGAGCATTTACTCAGGCCAGGAAGAGGTGGCGTCGGCGGTCTATGCGCACTACGGCAGGGCGTTTGGCACCGTGGAGCCACAAAGCTACACTCTAAATCTCCATGAGCTAGATCTGCCACATCTAGACCTATCATAGTTGGAGGAGCTCTTCACTATGGAGGAAGTGGAAAGCGTGATTTAGGATATGCCTCCGGATAAGGCGCCGGGGCCGGGTGGGTTCACGGGCCGATTCTATGCCACGTGTTGGAGCATCATAAAGGTAGATTTCATGAAGGCCATGGATTGCTTCTACAAGGGAGACATGAGGGGCATGGCTGCTATCAGTAAATCTTTGGTCACATTATTGCCAAAGATGGATGGTGCCTTGGAGGTGGGCGACTTTAGGCCGATCAACCTTATGCATGGGGCTATCAAAATATTTGAGAAGGTTCTGGCTTGCCGCTTGGTGGTGCAACTTCCGCTATTGGTTGGAAACCACCAGAGCGCCTTCGTGAAAGGTCGATCGTTACATGACAATTTCATGCTGGTTCAAAGTATGGCTCGAAGACTGAACACCCTGAGGATGCCCACGGTGCTATTAAAGCTAGATATTTCGAAGGTGTTCGACTCTGTACAGTGGCCATTTCTCCTTGAGGTGATGCAACAAATGTGGTTTGGACCTCGGTGGAGATCTTGGATCTGTGGAGTCCTTGCGACATCCACCACCAAAGTCATGGTGAATGGAGACCCCGGAGATACTATATATAACTGCAAGGGGCTGCGACAAGGGGATCCGATATCGCCGATGCTATTCATTCTTACTATGGAACCGTTGCAGAGGTTGTTTGAGCAAGCCATGACTAGAGGCGTGTTGGAGCCTTTGGCACATATAGGTATGCGGCAGTGTCTGTCCATCTTTGCGGATGACGTGGTGGTGTTCATCAAACCAAAGCCTATGGAGCTACACATATGCAAGAACATACTTGTAATGTTTGGTGAGGCTTCAGGCTTGCAGATAAACATGGTCAAATCGGTGGCACTACCGATAAGATGCAATGATCAGGAAGCAGCTATGGTGTGTGAGGGGCTGGGATGCCCGAGAGGGAACTTTCCAATCAAGTACCTTGGACTGCCATTGTCCTTGAGGAAGCAGTCAGCGGCACAGTTGTAGTTCCTAGTAGATTAGATGGCAAATTGTCTACCAAAGTGGAAAGCGGCTCTAATGTCTAAGAGTGGACGCCTTACACTGGTGCAGTCTATGCTCTGTGCCATGCCCATCCATGCCATGATGGCGCTTGACCTACCAAAGAAGACAATAGCGGTGATGAACAACTTGTGCAGAGGATTCTTATGGTGCAGAAGAGAGGAAGCAAACAGAGGCAACTGTGCGGTAGCTTGGGATTCGGTGTGTGCGCTGAAATTGGTTGGTGGCCTAGGGATACCTAACCTCAGATGGCTGAATGTGGCCATGCAAGCCGGGTGGTCATGGCTTGCAAGAGTGGACACGAGTAGACCTTGGAGCGAGTTTAAAATAAAGATCCCAAAAGAAGCTAAGCTACTTGTCCAGGCGGCTACAAGGAGTGAAGCACATTGTGGTATTCATACGCTTTTCTGGGAGGATCGTTGGATCGACGGTATGCAGGTGCAAGAGATTGCTCCAACGATATACGACATGATCCCGAGGCGGATCAGATCGACGAGATCGGTCGCTCAGGCCATGGAGCATGGGTCTTGGGCAATAGATGTTGGCCCGAATATCGGTGTGGCCTCACTGCATGAATACCTAGAGCTTTGGATGAAAGTGAGCACGTGGGAGCCACAAGTGGATGTGCCGGACTTGGTCTCTTGGTCATGCGAGACCAATGGCCGCTTCTCGGTGCGTTCAGCGTATGCGGCAAAGTTCGGGGGCCGGACAGTGGAGCCATTGGCTGAGATGACGTGGAAGTCTCGGGCCCCATCTACCTGCAAGTTCTTTGCTTGGCTTGCCTTAAGAAACAGGTGTTGGACCTCTGACCGACTGGCAAGGAGAGGCCTCCCACACCAAGAGGCATGCCCCTGGTGCGACCAAGAGGACGAAACTATTGACCATTTGATCATGTGCTATTGACGTGTGTCTTTGCCATGTCAGCATGGGTCATAGTTTGCGATGCTCTGGGCAAGCTCGACTGAACGCCGACTGCACAAGATTCCCTAGCCCTGTGGCTGGAGGGAAAGCATGGAATCAACGACAGGCAAAAGAAGGATCTTCATACGGTTTTCTTACTAACAATGTGGGAGTTGCGGAAGCATTGAAATGCTATTGTATTTGATGGGGCATCTCCTTCGTTAGTTGTACTCCTAGGTAGAGTCAGGTCGGAAGGAAGAATGTGGTCTATTGTCGGCAAGTTCAAAGGGAACATGGACCCCTACTTCCTTCGGCTCGAAGGTGGGCGAGTAGTGAGGAGTAGTAGTGTTGTAATGTGACCCTTGTAAATATGGTGGAGTCATTCTTTGCCTTTCTTCTTTAATATATAATATGCACAGTCGTGCATATTTGAGAAAAAAATTGACCAACAATGAAGCGACCCTTGAATTCTCGTCACGTATGCAACAAAAACTATACATACCGATCAATCTTGGGGCTACCAAATTACACTCCATCGTATCGATCGATCACCGATGGAATCTGCTAGCTTCATGGAGATTAGATCAACTCGATATAGTTATCTACTAGTAATATAAGATTTCTCTGATCATGGGGGTGTTTATCAATTCGATCACCGCACCAAGAAACCATTTCTAAAAGAAGAAACCAAAGAAAGGCCACACAAACTAACTAGAAGCAAAGCCGCGCGTAAGTATCCTACACAACAACATGCGGGAACCTAAAGCACCCGGCGAGGTGCGGAAGCCGGAAGTGGTGATGGTGTCGTTCTTGGGCCCTCGCCTCGTCGACCACCCTTTGGAACCGCTCCACACTGCAGGGGACGATGATGGCGCCCTCGTGCGCGTACCCGTACTTCTCCCACGCCTTGGTGGGCAGCTCGATGATCGCCGGGTGCCCGAGCAGAGTCACCGGCACCGCGAACCTCTGGGGCGCCTCCCCGCCGTTGCCCACCAAGAACGCCGCGCATCCCTTGGTCATTTTCGCCGCCTGGCGGTGGGTAGACGACGCGTCGATGAGCTGGAGACAATCTGCTTCTTGGCCCTGCTTCGTATTCTCTCATCGTACGAACTTGGTACCTGAATTGTCGGGAGGAGCTGGAACTTGTTGCGATCGCGGAGCCGTGCTGGGAGACAGACTGAATTAGAAGCGGTTTGGTTATCGACTGCGATTATGCATCCTCACCTTCGTGTTTTTTTGGGAAGTATGATTCCCCTCGTGTTAGAAGAGAAGTCCCTCTCATGATTCTCTTGGATATGTGTCGGATTTTTTTGTCTGTTCGAAATTGTTTTTACCACGCCTGGTAGATATGTGTCAGATTACTTATGATACATATGTACAAGTACTAGTGTGGAGAAAACATACGAGACGTATTTTTTTGTTGTTGAGAACTACATGAGATGTATCTACTATGGAACCGAATGTCCCGTGAGAACTTCCTATTCCGAAATGAGGGTTGTTCCACTTTTCATTCGCTCGCTCCCCCAATCCCCCAACCACCGCCGGCGACGGGTGAACCCTAGCCCTCTGCTCCTCCAGCCCCCGTCCCCATCCTCTTCCCCGGCCACCGCCGCCAGTGTGGTCTGCCGGCCCTTGCCTGCGCGGTGCTGGCAGCGGCGGGCTGGTCCTTCTCTAGGCGCGCGGCGGGGGCACGGGGGCTCCTCCTGGCAGCGGTGTGGTTCGGCCAGCGGCGGTCTGGCTCGTTTGGATGGTTCCCGCGGGCCTCGGGTGCCTTAGGCACGGCGGCGCGGCCGTTGGTTGTGGGGTGGCACACTGGTGCAGGGGCTCGGCCAGTGGCACCCGCTAGGTCCAGATCTGCGCCCTTTAGGCCCAATCTGGGCTCGTGAAGGCTGGCGGCTCTCTGCAGTGCGGCGTGGCTCCCTGGAGGTCGGGGTGGGTCGGTAGCGGTCTCCAAGTGGCAGCGGCATGAGCAGCCAGTGTGCTGTAGCGTGGCGGAGGGACCTTGCGGGCCCATCTGGGCCAGTGGTGGCCTGGGCCCGACCGAGCCCATGGCGGCCTGGTGTGTCCCGGATACCACGTCCGGTTGGCTTCCGCTCCCACGGTGCAGGTAGTCCCCTCCCGCTTGGCTGCTTTGCTGGTGCCCCCGGGTCCGTTGTTCCCTTCTTCCTCCTCTTTGGCCTCGTGGCGATGGCCTCGGGTTGGCGATGAGGTGGATTCAAGACCATGGTGGCGTGCGTTGGTGGGTGATTGGTTTGGTGGAGCACTGGATCGGCCAGAGTGGCGAGGGTTGGGGGTCGTGAGATGTCCCTGTCGGCTTGTCCGGCACCGAGGTGGTGACGCTTGCAGGCGCCGTCATTCCTTCCTGAAGGGCTTTGGGTATAACCCAGTCCTCACTGCCCTTCGCGTACCGGGGAAAACCCTAGGACTTATCCGGACAGCAGCGTCGTCGTCGTTGCTTTCCTTCTTGAAGAAGTTGCTCGGTACGCAATGCTTCAGTGTGCTTGGCGTGTGGTGGGAAATCTCCGGGGGGCGCAACGGTTGCCGATCTTCTTCTTTGTTTCGTCAAGCTGCCGGCGTCGGCATTTGTTTCTCTTTCTTCTTCTTGTTTTCTTTAGGCTTCCTTGTCCTGCGGCCCCAGCATGTTGGTTGTATCTTGTGGTGGCTTTATAATATAAAGCGGAGGGAAACCCTTTATCGTCAACTTCCTATTCCTTTGGTAGCGGAAGACCCTCCTAGCGAACCATTCCATGTAAGCCTCCAATTGACAAAAAAAGAACCAATTTCCTATGATACAACGAAAACTTGGATCGCTAAAAAAATCTAAAACTTGGAAACGGGTATTTCGTACCTCATTTTATAACAAATTAAAATAACACATAAAAATGATGTATAAAAATAAAATAGAGTTATGTTCAAAATTGATCATGTACCGAACATTCCTCTAACAAAAGACTTATTCATCCTAGAAGATTAAAATTGCAGAATTTGACGTAACTATTTTTTGAGACAAATATTATATAAACAACCACATCATTGGGATTTCATATATAGCACATATTAAAAACACACAAAAAAGAATAAGTATATGTATAGAAAGAATTGCTAGTTGCAAAATGATACAAAAAACAATATTTTTACTAAAATGACATCATACATGGCAAATTTTAAAAAAATATAAGAATTAAAAAGGACAATTGTCATGATCCAGGATGATTCAAAATTGAAATGCTCTAAAACAAAACGGAAATTGCCATGACCAAAAACAATGGAAATGCCATGACATTAAAATCGAAAATTCCATGATATAGAAAATAAAATTGCCATGCTCTATATTTTCTCTTTGTTGAAATAAAAATCACACAAAGTCCATCGCCATGATATTTGAAATTTTATGCCATTATAAAAAAATTTACCATGTTATAGATAAGAAATTGTGATGCTCCTAATAAAAAAATGTTATGGTCCTAATGATAAAATTTTCATCCTCTTAATAATAAAAATGGCATATGTTTTACCACGTCACTAGGATTCCATATATAGCACATATCTAAAGACGCAAGAAAGGAAAAAATATGTATATCAAAAACCGCTAGGTGCAAAATGATATAAAAATAGTATTTTTACTAAAAATACCATCCTACATGGCAAATTGAAAAATTGTATCAAAACGAAACGACAATTGTCATCATCGACGATGATTCAAAATTAAAATTCTTTGGAAATTGCCATGATAAAAATAATGGAAATGCCATGACATTAAAATAAGAGATGCCATGATACAATTTCCATGCTCTATATTTTCTATTTAAAAAAAATAAGAAATCACACAAAGAACGTTGCCATCATACAAAAATTAAATTTTTTATGCCACTAAAAATAATGGTAAAATAATTGCCATGGTCTTAATGAAAAATCTAATGGTCTTGATGGTAAAACCGGCTTGTTCCTAATAATAAAAATATCATTCTCTTTAAAATAAAAATGAGATGTTGTAGATGGAGATCCCATTGCAAATTTTAAAAGGAAATGTTCTTTAAAGAATATCTTCTCTTTAGAAACTCACTAGTTTCAGAAAAGGCTTCCACCATGGTAGTTTGTTGATGAAACTGCCATAATCTAATTAACAAAATTGCCATGTCGGTTATAATAAAAAATATGAAAAATTCGGATGAGAATATATGAAACACTATTAGAACGTTGCAAAAATGTCTTATGACAAAAAGGATAGAATTACAAATTTTCTATGATTTGAAGGAAAATCTTTGTTGGTAACATGGCAACATTTCTAAAGATTATTGCCATGAAAAAATGCCATGTACTAAAAAAGTTTAAAAAAATGCCATACTACATAAATTGAAATTGACATGGTATAACAATGATAAAAATGGCATGCTTAAATAATGCCATGTTGCATAACATATACAACATATCATGTCACAAGTTTCAATGGCGCACAAAAATGCCATGCTAGACTAAACTACCAATGCCAAACTAATAAAATTGACATGGTATGAAAAGTAAAAGTACCTTGGGGTATTTAATAAAATTGATAAGGCCTAAAAAGTTTTCATGCGACCAAACAAACAAACCTGATGAAATTAATATTTTTGTGATGGTGTAAATAATGAAATTGCCATGATCTAAAGAATAATTTTGCCATGGTACATAACTTCAAATTGCCATGGTCTAATTAAAAAACATCATCCTCTAACTAAAAAAATTACCATGTTACCTAAGATAAAGCTACCATGTTCTAAAATAGTAAAAATGCCATGGTCTAATTAGTGAAATTGCCATGTTGCCTATAATAAAGTTGCACATGGCACTACTAGCATGAGTAAAAAAATTATGATGTTATGACGATTATCTACATAATTGCTATGATAACTAAATTGCCATCATAACATTTAGAACATTCATGCAAAAATTTCCTGTGGAAAACATTTCAAAAAAAACATTCATACTATTTGGCCCCCTCCCCCTACCACCACAAATAAAAAGATATATAAACTTTCACACGTGATTTTTTTCCAAAACATAGTACCATGAAAAAAAGAGTTGCCATGATATAACGCACAATTTTGCCATGGTCTAATTTTAAAAATTGTCTTTCTCTAACTAATAAAATTGTCATGATACCTAAAATAAAACTACCATGTTATCAATAGGAAAAATGTCATGATCTGATTACTAAAACTGCCATGGTGCCTATGATATAATTGCACATGGAAAATGCTTGGTAAAACACTTATATGTTGTTTGTGGTGATTATCTATGGAAGTTCCATCAGAAACATGTTGCCATGTGAACAAATCAAAACAATCTTACAAAAAGTGCCATGTGATTGTTTCCAAAAACAATCATACTATTGGCCAATAGGAACAAGAGATGTATACACTTTGACGTACAAAAATTTGTCATCACAAAATTAATGGAGCTACCCACGACAAGAATTTAAGTCTTATTCCATGTCAATGAAAAAAACAAGATTTAGAGACATCTTGTATAAAGTTGAGTTGACATCGCCCTATTTTTTTGTTTTCTCAATTCAAGGATAAGAGGACAACTCAAAGCAACAACGCTGCTTGTCCCCTTTGCTATGTTCTTGATGTGCGCCTCTGTAATTCGACTAATTTAGTAGAGGTGTTGATAATCCCCTGCATAAAACTCTGAAGGACGAGTTATCAATCTTCAGAAGGATGAGGTCTTGTAATTCCATCAATGAGAAAATCGAGGTCAACCAAATGTCATATTACCATCCCATCAACAATTTGTAGTAGTTTGTTGCCCCTCTTCCTTTCTAGTAATAGGCTAATATAAGTATCACTCCGTTAGTATGAATCTTCTCAATTATGCGCTCATCCTTCCCCAAATTACCCTTCTCCTTGGCCAAGTTTTGTTGCGAGAGCAAATAAAATTTACCCCATTCTGAACCCAATCATGAAGGATTTCACTACAAATTGAATGTTAGATTTTTTTAGCATGGCAAATCAAACATTTTTTATGACACATTATGTTGT